TCATTTAAAGTCTGCCTCAGAGAATTGCAAAACTTTGATGGAAAACATGAAGATATTAGTGTGGTATGTACTTTATAACAAAATAACACGACAAATGATTTAGTCAATTAAGGCTGCTCGCTGAAATATTACCTGTTTATCCACCTTCAACCACCTGGAAAATGCTAGGACCCTATCCTTAAAAACCATCAACCCAGACCCAGGCCCTCTCTCCCCTCTCCCCCGTCCAAATTTTGCTTCGGAACGGTTTCCATGACTCTCTTCAACGCAAAGTGTCTCAACTCTTTTGTAATCCAAGTGACAAGATTTGATCGGGGGCCGATTTTGAGAAATAGCCTGTTTCTTTTTTTTTTCTTCTGGTGTTGGACACAGCTTTTCTTAAGGCCTTCCCAACTGAGAATCTTTTTGCCCTGTTACGTCTAGAATATTTTGTGTTAATTTCCATTTTAAATCCCTGAAATTTTATTACAGAACTGGTTGGCATTTTCTAAACTTCACAAACCGCTCTTCACTGAACATGGCTCTGTTAGGTTTTCAAACACAAACCCACCAACAGATGAAAACAACAACGCTTACTGCGAGGTAAGTATACAACTGCGTGAAAAATTAACAACCAATGCGAAATACGGAGAAAGCTGAATTTTGTCTTTGGATGTAATTCTAGATGAAAATAAATTAAGCATTTAAATAGTTCTCTACGTTTCCATACGTGTACTAACAATATGACTTGTCGCTAATATGGCGCACATTTGCGGTGTAAAATGTTCATAACGATAAGAATAAAATGGAGAGATAATGTATAATAATAAAATATCCAATTGTTTCTTCATTTTATAGTTTGTGCAGTTTGTACGAAGTTATAGCATTACACCATCAGTCCTGATATCAGCCAATCACAGCACAACAGGAAGTGGAAACTTGGCACCAGTTCATAACGGTATCACAACATGGATTGAGGTAAAACACAATGCATTGCTACTTACAACCAGTTACGAAATGTACGATTTTGTAAGATTCTTCCCCTTATGGAGAAGTTCATGGTAACATACGTCCCTTTTTGTGTTTCAATCGGTGTCTATCACATATTAGTAGAATTCTACTAGTATAATAATGCCAATACTGTTATCTGATTGGCTGAGCCATTGCACACTATCAGCCATTAGTGTTCAGTGGCTTGGTGTGGTCGATAAAATTTCACCGTTTTCTTGTTTCTCCGAAGCTTTGAAAGAACATTTAAAAACAAATGGATCTTTAAATTCCTAAAATTAAAAGACTGAAAAAGGACATTCACGGTTTCTTGAATTAAAAAAACAAAATTCGTATTTTTTTTAAAGAAACTGATAAGCGCGCGCACACAACTGAAAATGTCAAATTGACAATTCAGTCCGCGCGAATTCTCTAAAGCACGAAGTTTAATAATGAGACCAGAAATATTTAGAATCGTTATTTGAAGCAAATTTCAGTAAGCATTCTACTAAATTCGGCCCTCGGCCTCATCAACAATCACCTCATAGAAATCGAGAGCGAATAGCGAACAGCGAATAGCCCTGAATAGCGAATAGCGAATAGCGAATAGAACGAATAGTGCTAATAGTCCCAAATAGACCAAATAGTGGCGAATAGTGGCGAATAGTGGCAAATAGTGGCAAATTACATGTAGTGGCAAATCGTGGCAAATAGGGTGCCCAGTTTCTCGCAGTCAACCTCGCAGCAGCGACGGGATTTTCCATTAAAAAGCACAGACGCTTATCAGGACAAAAGGTGTTTCTCAAAGGTGTTTCAAAAGGTAATTTCTTCTGTTTTAACCGCTCCAAAAACGTAAATACGTCTTTATTAGGTTATCCTTGTGTGTTTTGTTTTCTTAATGTCGGCGATGGACAACCCTAGCCTGAGTCCGGAGAAAAAAGGGTAATAAATTCACTGAAATTCTGTACCTTATTTGGATAATTAATTAACGCAGGATATTAGATCTAAATCGGTGACTATTGACAACTATTCGTCACTATTCGTCACTTTTCGCGACGGTTCGCCACTATTCGCACTATTCGGGACTATTCGCTATTTGGTATTCGCGACTATTTGCTATTCGCTATTCGGGTTTTCCAGACACCCTTTTCAAAAAAAGCAATTTATTCTGAGGGGCTGAAACTGTCAGTAGCTCTTCATTCATCCTCTGCGGAAATTTTGATAGGTCAATTACGTCAATTGAGTGATATGTAATTTTTGACGTTGTCATTGGTAACCATCTAATCTCATGTAGTTTTGGCCAAATATCAACTTTTTTGACATAATTCTGTATTTTTTCCAGTATTCTTCATCAATTTGCAGAATTTCACGAATTCTTATATTTCATAGGCATTCTGGCATGATTTTGCAATAATTTCCGCTATTTTTTGACTTTTTTAAAACTAGTGAAGTCCGGGATGGCGGATCTAGGATGGTGGGTCAAATGACGTTATTTGACGTCATATGACGTCATAACCAACAAAAATGGTATCATCTTGTAGAGGAAGCTCAGGGCTATCTAATCAATGTAAATTTATTTTGCTGTGCCTTTACAGAACGCAATCCGAGAGGGGTTCCATCAACCACCCCTTGTACCACAGTGGCTAGTAGGGGTATGAGTAAGCTTGTACGTCCGAGGGTTAAACATTATTTGCAGCAGTGTTAACAGCGCCACGTCCCCCTTTTACTGACGAAAACTGTTTTCTTTTTCTACCAGTTGTAAATTGGAATAAAACATGGAACTCTTGTCGTTTTTCTACTGGTTTGGTTTTTGGATATTTGGAAAACAGAGCTGTTTGGTTTATTTTCTGTCGAGGAGCCAGCGGTTAGGCATACAATTCCTATTGAGAAAAACACACCAGTGTCGTGTGAAAGGACAAATCTGTAATAAAATCGTTAGAATGTTGATCCAATCAATTTTAAAACTTGTCCAGCTCTATAGCGTCAAATTCGTTTTCAGACGACGTCTGAAAGTTGCAGCCATTTTCAGAGGTCACAATCAGTGCATCTTAATTGTTAGGGGTATCAAATGGTCCCATTCAATTTAAAGGTGATCGCAAAAATTTGGCTTTTGCTCGGAGTGTTCGCAAACTGAGATGAGTCCTCGCTTGCTCGTGCTCGCAAAATTTTTGCAAGTACTCGCATACTCGGATTTTTGTTAAAATTATCTGCTGTGTAGCGGAAGCATAATTTGCATCCTTGAAACAAAAATTGACGCTGGAAACGATGTTTCCCGTATGGCAACACTAGGGAAACATGCACGCACTATGAGTGTTTCTGGTAACATGCTTCCTCGTTTTATTGAAACTGACGCGCGTAAAAATTCTTGGCGAAAGACACCCACAAAGGTAAAAAGTACTCTAGAGACATGATGACAGAATATTCAGAACATCAGAGCTTGTGAGAGCTATATGGCTAACGCGGCAATTGGTGAGATCCTGGAACCCTCCAAATGAAGCTTCATTGCGCTGAATTTTTTTTTCAGTTTGCCGATCATTGAAACCAAATCTCAAAATTCTTGTTAGACTAAATCCAACGTTGTTCGCATTTGCTAAGAATTATATATACATGAATAACCAAATACCATGTCTTCTACGTCACAACTCTTCAAAGTCTGGGAGCTTTTAACGTCAGACCTAGACTACGAGTAGTCCCTCTTTCGCTTAGTCCGTCGTGCGTGACGTGAAAGAAAACTGCGAGACAAAAAATGGCCGCGCGAAATCCTGGGGGCGAGGAGCGCGCGAAAGGAAGGACTACCTCCTAAGCCCAAGAGCTTGCTTGCCCTTTCACGGCTGAGTGATTTTTCGGTGTAGGATTTCTCATCTTGACGTCCTCTTATTATCGCCTGTTGTCAATAACCCCGGGAGATATCCTGTATAAAACTAGATTGCTCTACTCTACTCTTCAAGTAGCCAGGCAAAAACATATGCCGTGAGAAGTATATCTTCGTGCAGTGTTCGTTCAGTGAAACTGCCAATGAAGTTTTAAAAAGAAGACGGTGAATGAGGCATCTTGTAACGATTTTCGCTGCGTCTGTAAGTGTAACTCTAAGGGCCGATTTGCACGGTACGACTTTGTCGTATAAGACAAGCTTACGACAGGCCCTTAGGATACGAGGACGGGAAGGCCAGGGCGGGAATGGTAGTGGACGCGGGAAACTTTCGCGGGTCCAATCGTGTCACCAAAAACAAAATGCTTAAGATGTGTATTTTCGCAAAGGACGGCGACGTCAATAATTCCAACATCCTTTAGACTATAAAAAAGATGGTAGAAATCTTATCCTATTAAGCTTAAATGATAGTGAACAGCGATGCTGAATTTATTTTTCTTAAAAGCGAAGCAAACATCTGTCAATATTTTAATAGAGAAACCTGAATTTCCGAACAATCTGATCGACCTGCTTCAGATGGCTTTTTACCACCAGAGCGTTTGAGAATTCTGTCGCCGAAGAATCCTGACTTTTGGTGAACATTTTAATTTCCATCTGTAATTGTAAAAGCATTATGAAAATAAAACAAACGTTGCATCAAGTTCCGGGTAGTATTAAAAAACAAAACTAAACATCAGTTTGAAAATATGTATTCTATTTGCTCGATAGATGCTCCATGGCATTCATTCTTACAACATTTTATCGACTGTACTTACACTGATGTATTCTCAATGCATACAGTTTGTATAGAGCTTGCACACTCGTGACAGCGACTGAACAGTGACTGAAACACAAACAAACAGACGAGGAATATTTTTACTCACAATTTCGTATGTCAGCGTAGTATTCTACACTACAATCACGAAAAATGCGAACCTTATAAACATCCCTATTAATATAACTAAAAATAAAGTCGATTGGAACATTTAGCGGGGCAAAACATGTGCAAAATACTCACGTTTTCGATACGACGGCTAGGACGGCAGAGAGATGATTCGAGAGTTCTCGAGCGCATGCCCGGTTGAGTAAATTTACTTCCGGTAGCCGTCCTAGCTCGTCCCGTCCTGGTATCTTAAGGTGCCTATTTACACGCACGCGACATTTTCACTTACAAAATTAAGTATGTAAAAGTTCGCACCGGGATTTTCGAAGCGAAAGCTCTAACACACGGTGAACAGATATTTTAGCTGTCCTGGGCTTTGAAAAAACTTTCTAACGAGATGTTTTTCGCTTTAATCTGTTCAGTACTTTTCGAGAAACGACTTCACGTGAATCATTCAACAACAACTTCGTCCGCCATTTTGACCCTCGTCCCCTACTCTATAGAAATTTGTAACAAAATACGTCATTTTGTATCGATTTCGGCTACAACTGTCGTAGCGTTTTAAAACATGTTTTAAAATCCTACGACATTTTTTTGACGTACACAACAGTCGTAAG